GTGTTTTGGTAGATAGCCTTAGCATCCAATCATTCACGGATTGGATGTGGCGGTGACATGCCCCTTTTACTTAGTTTTATTAAATTCCGCTGCAACTTTTGAAGTTTTAATCATTAAATAAAAGTTCATCTCTATTTCAAAGTATTATTTTGGGTGGAAAATTTGGGGGTGTCACAGTGGGACACCTCCCCAATGTAAAGGGATTGGGACCATTTCTTCCTTTGGGTGGCGGAGTCGCCCCCGGTGTTCCCACCTACGATGAGGTGAATGTGGTTCTTCTTTGGTGGAGGCTCCTCAAAGTCTTCGTCGTCATTGAGCCTACCAATCTCCCGCTTCTTCGTAGAGGGTTGCCCCCAGATTTGTCGGTGTTTACCCACGTATTTTTGCGCGGGCCACCTATAACAAATTGGGAGAGTCCCCATGATGAATCAGGCGCTCGATGGCTTTCTTCAGCGTGATCAAGTCGTCGGTGTTGTGTGAGGAGTTCTTGTGGAACCGGCAGTAGGTGCCGCCCTGCTGGATGGCAAGGATGGTGCTGACCGGGTGTGTGAGGGGGACCCCCGGCCGTTCCAACCTCGGCCGCCAATGGCGGTCTTTCTTGCTTTGTCCACCAGGGCCGTGACGGCACTGGGCACCCTGGCCGGCCGGGGATGTTCCTGGGGCCGGCGAAGGATTTGTCTTCTTGGAGTGGTGGCCTCCGTCCTTCTTGTGGTTTTGGAGCTTGTCGGCATCGGCGTACAAGCTCCCGCGCTGAAGTGCCTTTGCATACGACCTCGGAGGGTCGGTGATGAAGCTCTGGGCATACGAGGAGCTGCGGAGGGCTCCCTGGTAGAGGACGAGGAGGGTGCACTCATCGGCCCCCTTGACCTCTTCGGTCTCCCTCGTCCACCGATCAATGAATGACCGGAGAGGTTCGTCATATTGCTGTTTGACGGAGAGGAGATGGGTGAAGTACTTCTTCGCACGCTTCCTCCCGGCAAAGTGGGTAAGGAAGCGCTGGGCCAGGTCCTGCCATGAGTCTATACTTCCTTCGGGAAGTGCGTTGAACCACTCGTACGCCGGCCCCTCAAGAGTGGAGAGGAACCAACGGCAGACGTACTCATCCGACGCGTTCACCATTAGCATGTTGTTCTGGTAGCGGCTGAAGTGCTCCTGGGGGTCTCTTCGGCCGTCATAGGTCTTGATGGCGTTTCCCCTGTACTTCTCCGGGATGGGAGCCGAGAGCACCCTGTTAGTGAAGGGAGTCCTGGTCCTGACCTGGATGACGGGGTCGCCTCATCCTTCGGCCAATTCCCTCTCAAAGGCGCTGACCTTGTTCATGAGTGCATTGAGGCCAGGATCGTTGGAGGCGCCGGCCGTGGGAATGTTCTCCGATTGTCTGGCCTCCATCTGGGCCAGCCTCCTCTCCCGTTGGGCGATAACCTCGTCCCGAGGGTCCCTGGCGGTCGCAGTGGCGCTCTGTGGGTTCTGCATGCGCACCTCGTGAGCCGCGTTGATGTGGTGGCGCACGTCGTCCTCGTGCAACTTTCCTTTGCCTTTGTTTAGGTGGGGCTGGTCCGCTGTCCGAGACACAGACCCCAGGCTTTCCCTTGGCGAGCCAGGCCGGCGCTCACCAATCCGTCCCGCCATCCTCTCCGAAACCGGACGACGGCGCGTGTCACCCAGCCTATTGAAGGCAGAGGCTTTTCCACGCGTTGGGGTCTGTCCGGGCCGAAGAGGGGAAGCAGGGTGGGAGTGGGACGACGCCGTGTCCTGGGCTACTACCCCCTCATCGTTGCCTAGCTTGACGACAACCGGTTGGGGCTGAGGAGGTGGAGTGATGTTCCCCCCAGTCCTTGGCATGAGTGCGCTGAGGACGGTGGGGTTTTGAGCCAAGCTGGCGATGATGACCGATAGTGCGGCCTGAACCTGCGGGTCAACGGACGGAGAGGCCGTGGTCAATGGTTGGGCCGGGGCGTTGTCTGCCTTCTCTGCGCGCTTCTTATACAGGCCGATGCGGGCATCAAGGACGCCGCCGTTGAGCTGGTTGCGCAGGTCCGTCGTGAGGTTGATGGCCTCCTGGAAGACGTCCCCTCCTCCGACTTGGTCGGCCGTGGCGTCCTCCTCACGCTCCCTGTTCTCCTGGTCCTCAAGGATGGCCTTGCAGACGAGGTTGCGGTTTGATTTAGTTCTTCCCATGATCAGTGGTTAGCTGTGCTTGGTAGCGACGAATGATGCTAACTTGATTGTTCTAGCTCTCAACGAGAGCACCAAATGATAGAGTATATATCTAGAGAGAAGTGAGAGCTAGAGAGAGAAGTGCAAGTAAATGCTTCAATAGATGATTTTGTGAACCCCTACAACTACCTCCAGAGGAAGTATTTATAGGGAAAATGTGGGCTGGGCTCCCGAGCCTTGGGCTTGGGAGGCCCATTTACAACTGAACCGCTATTGGGCTGAATACAATGTGTGTAGAAATGATTAAGTGTGAAGACTAGTTCTGTGAGGCTTCCGTGGCCGACGAGGGTCTGGCCGATGATGGCACGGCCGATGAGGGCACGGCTGACGGGGGCACCCAAGTTCCCTGGCTTCAGGATCATATTCTGAGTTGGTCCATCTTCGGCCGACGGGGGTCCTTTGGCCGACGAGGGCACCGCTTGGTGGCTTGTGCTTTCTGTTCTTCTGAGTATGTGGGTCCTGAGGCCTACACCCATATACTCCATCAAGTTATAATACATATTTTATTTGTTTCTTACATTTTTTTTACTAAATTATTGATTGTCCAATTAATATTTATTTTTGAAAAATTGTGTGATAGCATTATAGTGTAAGTTTGCCCTCACTGGCCGAATTTTCTGGATACGCCACTGCGCTTTTTCACACTTCGACCTCGCCTTTCGCACCAACGCTTACACCTTTAGTGGTCAATAATGTACTCTTTTATTTTATGTCTATTTTAGAATTGTAGAAGTCTGGTCAGATTTTATCTGTTCTGGTCTGATTTGATCTGTTTAAATCTAGACTTGGAAACTTTTATAAGTTTATTACAGAGTATTAAACTTTTCAGATTTGAGTGAAGATACGATAAAGAGGATGGAGAAATTATTAAAATATTATATTATTAGGATAAAATATGATATTATCTGGTCTTATTTTTAAGAGATAATTACCCTATGTATGACTAAAACTTGTTCTCCTTCCCAATCTATGACCTAACTAGTTTTTTTTACCAAAATAATACTAAAATTCATAATATTTATATAAAATTCGTGATAAATAAATAAATAAATAAATAAATAAATTAGGTTGACAAATATGCCCTTTAGATTATCTCTATAAAACTCCAAGCTCCTACTATTTTCTCCAACCCTAGCCTCCATTCCACCACCTCCGTAGATCCACCCGCCTGTAGCCGCACGCCCCTGCCGCCGCCGCCCCATGCCCCACGGCCCGCCCCTCGTCGTCGTCCAGGAGTACGTTCGCTGCAGCCAGCCGGTTGATTGCCCAGCCACCCTCAGTCCCACATCTGCTCGACGCAGCCACTGCCCAGATCGACGCCACCCACCCCCGCCATCATCCCTACACATGTGCGACAGTGCCGTTCCAATCTATGTGTGCCACCGCCATCGCGATCCATGCAATCTACCGCCCAGTCGCCCGCCTCTGTCCGATGGGCTTACCTTAATCATTGGAATGCTGCCAAAACCTAGCAGGGAGGGAGGCCGCAAGGAGGGGGAGTGCGGCGCTGCTTATGGAAAAATAGGTCTGTAGCATTCTGTGTGTGAGGATCGGCCTCCTAGATTGGGTTTGCTTTGAATACATTGACCACTGCTTTGGATTTGTTGCGTTAAATTTTTGTTGGACACGGAGGCAACTGCTTTGGACTTGCTATTAGTTTTGCCCTTCATTCTCATTTTTGCTTTTCTATTTTTGAAATTTAGAGTTTCTAAAATTAGGGTTTGTTGGCATTAAAAACGGGCATTGAACATGGGCAATGAATATCATCATAGATATTCTTAAATATGGCAGTGAATATGGAAATATATATATTGTACATGGCAATGATTGAATGCATTGAAAAAGTTTGTTGTGTAATGATTATTACCGGTAGTGCAGTAACACAGAGCAGTAATTTCATCATGGAACGCAATATACTTAATTAGACGTAAAATAATAAAATTATTAAATTTAAAAAAATAAAAAATAAAAACTATAGATAATTTCGTAATGTGAATGAAAAGAGAATTAATTTTGGCAGAAGTGCATTGATTATTACCGGATGTGCAGTAATGCCGTGCAGTAACGACAATATAAAATGCAGCGATTTTAATTGGACGAAACAAGTGCAAAATGTACATATTTAAAAATAAGGGCATTTTCGTCATTCAACTTTTAATTAAAAACGTTATTTTATTTTATTTTTGGAATTTTGGTCATATAAAAGTCCAAAAACTAGTTAAGTCATAGATTGAGAACCTCATTAAATTTTAGTCATATTCTAGAAAATTTCCCTATTTTTAATCACATTGTGTCCATGTTAAGATTAGTCTTGTTTTGTCAATAGCATGTGTAGGAGTAATATCGGTGACACTATTTCCATTTTAATACATATTAAATTCAGTAACATTAATCGAAAATCAATGAGAGAATTCCTTAAATAGGAGTAAAAAAGTTTTAAAATTCCAAAATAGGAGTATCATGTTTTTTATTTTTTGAATAGGAGTAAATTTATGTTGTTGCTCCTATTTAGAGCAATTTCTAAAAATCAATTTCTTTCTGTTTTTAAGCTCTAAAAACGACCCTGGCAAATCAGTAACAATAATCGAAAATCAAGTACCCCTAATTCAACTCTTCACGGTTTCATCTCTCAATATGTCGTCGTGGCATGCGATAATGAGATGTAATTAAACTTAATCAATAATATTATCGTATATAATATAAAGTACGTACATGAAAAAACTCGGTGCACGCAAAATGACGATGAAAACTTCACTTTTAAGCAACTAATAATAAGCAACAAATTAAAATCAAAGCCTTAGATTCAAATCGATCCCGGAATCATCACCTTCTTCATCTGTTCCCTTGTCTTCATTATCGCCCAAAAACGGACAACTACTTTTACCTTCATTATTTCTTGATAAGCTACTATTTGCTAGCATCCGATTATTTCGATCGTCAATATTAATTGAAGCCAGCAGACGACCCTTTTTTGTCTCGGCCATACCCATCCCGAAAGCATCGCCATTGCTTGCTTGGAGACTTTCGGGCCGTAATATCAACGGCGACGGCGATCTCGGTATCCATTTCTCCCTATCGTATCGAGAACCCAAAAATGGCGGTGGTGGATGATAGGAGGAAGGCAGCCTATGAATGGAGGACGACGAGTAATCGGGCGTGACGCCGATGGATCTGTTGCTCATCAGAGAGGTACCAGTAGTATAGAATGGGATCATTTGTGAGGAAAAGGCAGTTGAGTAGGGATGATAATAATGTGGGTGATGAACATAAGGAGGCACATTATTGTCTGCTAAGCCGTGTCGCCTTTTGGCCAAGGCGCGCTCTTGTTTATGCGCATTTTGGTGGCCACCGAGGGCTTGTGAAGTCGAGAACTCTCGTTTGCAAAAATTACAAGAAAAAACCCTAGACGTCGTTGCGTCTGAACCTCTTCGCTCGCTAGTCTCTCCATCATTTGATGATTTGCTTGGTGGAGATGAACTTGTCATGATTTTTTGAACTATGGACATGATAATGATCCTTGGATGTCTTTATATAGGGAGATGATGATGCATTTCCGATCATGGAAAGATACTTATATTATTACAAGAATCAGAATGCCTTAAAAAAGGTGTTACAATTATGGTGTAATAATTAAATTCACTCACTTATGAAAAGATCGATCATGTTAGAATTGTAATACACCGTATTAAATAAATAAAGAAAAACATATGAATCAAAAGCTAATATAAACTCATCATCATGTTCAGTAACTTCGTTAAACAACATGTTTCCTTAACCAAATGATGACAAAATTAGCGTTACATGCTTTTTTCAAATTTGTATAGTAGATGATCAAGTTTGCAACAAGTGTTAATCAATAGCTAGCAGTGAGTCATAAGTATTATCCCGTAATTATATTACAAATTTTAAATATGGTGACTAAATTAATAGTACAGGGATCTCCAACTTTAACTCCTGATTATGGCACGTTTAATAATTAGTTCAAATTTCCATGATTGAAATCTCGAGTTTAATGTATGATATCAACAAATATGTCATTATTGATGTTGCTCGTTTCTCCTTACCTTCTTTATTACTACACCATGAACTTCTTTTGTAACATCTTTATATTTCTGATAGTGACGAAACTAGTTAAGAATTTAATTGAGACGCTTGTATAGCTGTACTTCCAAATTTGTCTGATTTCTACGAACTACTCAGTATCATTAGTCTTTGACATAAATTATTACCATCCAAATCACTTAATGCGGGCGTTCACACTACAATTTCATCCCAAATAAAGTTATGAGGAAATTCCCCAAATATGAGTAAAAATTAGGGTACTTTTTAAAAGTTATAGTACCTACCTTGATTTAATTTAAGGGAGAATGATCGAGGTAGTATACTTTTAATTAGGCCTTGTTTGTACGTCAATCAGTTATTAGTTTATTATGATAGCAGTTTGGCAATATAAAATAATTGGCAATATAAAAATATGAGGTAGTTTATTATGGATGGCTATTTGTTGTCTGATTATGTTTGCTTATTATTATTGTCAAAAATTGTTTGGTAAATTAGTATTTTTAACTATGAATTGTTTTATATAGTAAAATTGAGTTATAAATCAATGATATATCAATCTCTTCTCATTGATTAAAAAAAAATTATTACCACTATTACATAAACATTTAATTAATCCAAATTCACTCGGTGATATTCCCTTTAACCACTGCACGCCAACTCATTTGGAGAAAGAGGAGGAGAAAAAATCTATTTGTTAGAGCATTTTGACTTTCTATTTGTACTCTAATTTTTACTAAACATATATCGAAATTCATAACTTTTTTTATCTTATATATGATACGAATATTGCATCTATAAAAAAAATAGAAGATCTGATTGGTGGGGGTATTTAATTAGGCCCAAAATGTTTTTGACGATAAGGCCCAAATTTGGTTTAGAGATCCAAACTCGAAAATTAAGGTTTCATTTTTAACATCTTTCAGTTAATTTTTTCAAAAAAAATCCTCTCCTTAATAGCACTACAAATCTAGAAATGAGTTTCCCGCTCCTGCAACTTCTCATCTCATCCGTCCGATTCTAATAAAAAAGGAATCAACGGCTTCTACCCTTTATTTCCTTCTGACTTCTACCTCCCGTTTCTTTACATTCTTTCTTCTTCCCAAATAGCAACAAGCTCTGGAAAATCACCTGTAATATCTGCCCAAAAATAGATCAATCACTATTGCCTCCTTCACTGTTGCCCTGAAATCATCAGCTCGGAAATCATCCATAAAAGGTGCTACCTTCAATTTCATTCCTCTGCCATTTTCTAGCATCCATCTTTGCGCAAATCATAGGCCGAAAAAGGAGTCTCTTGCCTAAATTCAGCCAATTCAAACTAAGTTTGAGGTAAACATGTTCTTCTTCCTTCGGAATCATCTTCTTATATGCGTCATTGCCTTCAATTTTCTTTCACAAGCACGAGGTGAATGTAATTCTACTTTATGATTCATACAATTTATTTCAGATCTTCTATTTAGTCACCTCCAATTTCCTAATATTTTTTTTAAAATGATTATTCATAGCTGCAGCTCTTCTTGCACTAGCCATGTGAGAAACTGATTTAGTGACTTCCAATTTCCTAATATTTTTTTCAAATCTTCTATTTCCTCGCCTGTTTTCAGCATATAATGTATGGATTTCTAGAAATCTATCACCTATGACAAGCTTCTTTTATTTGAAGGCACTATAATTGACAATAGCTTGCTTTTCGGAGAATACATAATTCCAATTTGATGGCATGTAGGTTTCACTTGGATGATAACACGATACATATTTTGTTGATTTTTTAAGTCAAACAACCCAACCGATAACTAAATGATTAGAATTGCTCAACCAATCAGCAGCTAGAGTAAATTGTCCACATGTATCTTTTTCTAAAGATATTTTAGCGATATGCAGAATGGTTGAATGGGTTTGAAATTCAACCTTCAACCCTTAAGGGCATGGCCAAATGAATATTTCAAGTAAATTGTCCACATGTATCTTTTTCTAAAGATATATTCACAAAAAGCACAAAAAACTGAAGATATATAGTTTGTATGATTTCGGATGAGAAAGGCTGCAGACTTTTCATCTCAACCGTTACTTAACTTTTTGCTCAACGCTGCATCAAGATTTGTCACTAATATCTCAATGCTATTCCAGTTTGTTGCTTTTCATTGGTCACATCCATTAGCACTTCCTTGCATCAGTAATCTACTCGAGGATGGTAATTTGTATTCCTCTCTCCATTTGGTTTTAGATTAAAAACTCAGGTTTTGATTCCCGTTTTAGCTTTCTTTCCTTCAAACCTATCACTTCTCTTTGAATTTATTCATCTTAGTTCTTTCTTTTAAAAGACTCAAAAGCCAAGAAAGCCCTCACAAAATAAAAGTATGGGCTGAACATTGCAAGGGACCATAGTGGTGAAGTCCTATCAGAGATTTTGTACGGTGGAATTTGGAGATTTATTAATATCTTATATATTTATTTTCTATGCTTGAAGAGTTTTAAATGTTTTATTTTTTGTTGTTAGGCTGCTCTTGCAAAGTCATGTTCAGATACCTCTACTTCCCTCTAGGAGAGAGCAGCTTGTGTTTTTTGAGGCATGCCTGTCTGAGAAAAACAAATAGGTTTGCTGTTTTTCAAATTTTGCTGTTACTAACAATGTTAGACGTTGGTACCAATAATACTACATTTTAGACATTGACAATAGTTTAGCCACCAGTAAATTGAAATAGACTAACATTATTTTTGCTTGAAATGTGAGTCTAATTTACCATGCCTGAGTAGAGGAAAAATATGTAGATATTTAAAGGGCTTTTTAATCATTGCTCGATTTAATGTGTTCAAGAAAAAGTAAGACTTTGACAAAAATCACATCCCTGCTCTGGTTAGTTTCAACTACAGTCACTTTTGTTCTAGCCAGGCTAGCTATTTGGATGATTAGGTAATAAAGAATTTGCAAGTGCTACTATCACGCCTCCCTCATATATCAGAACCTCCATATCTTCAGTAACTTCCCTATTTCTCCCATTGTCTCAACACGGTGCACATGTGGTCTTATGAGTTCAAAGTTCTCAAACATTTACACTGTTACGTTATATTAGTTTTCAAATCTAATAGATAGTTTTTATTTTCCACTGACTTAAAAACTACAACAATTTGGATTTGTGTGTTCTACTTTTTTTTGTCAATAAGCATAGGAGGGACAAAGAATTTCAGATTAGTGATTTAGTGTATGTCAAACTTCAACCATATAGACAACACTATGTCATTTACTGATCGAATCAGAAACTACCACCTAAGTCTTTGTTCTTTGGTCCATTTGAAATTATGAATAAGATTGGAATGTTATCATACAATTTTTTAACTATCAGCTAACTATCACCTGACCAATCTAAGATCCATCCTGTCTTCCGAATTTCACAATTGAGGAAGCATCATGGACCATTATTCCATAACCTATAATAAGTTCTATTCCTGAAGGCTGTAGTGGATGGCCGTTTACAACTGAGGATTGAAGCAACAAGTATTTTGGACTGGAAGATTATGAAAGAATAAAAAGTGCAGCAGTTCATTCAATGGCCCAATGGTCCAATGGTCTGAGTTTCCCTTGGAATCCTAGCTTGACGACAAGCTTCAAATTAGGGGGTGGATTGCAATGAATTCACAACTGAGTCAATTGTATTTGGCCACATGGGATTGTGACTCAACACTTATGATAGCTAATGGTTTAGTTAGTTGTTAAACTGAAATTGGTTGTAATTCCATTTTCTGTAAAAAGTTGATTGTAAAGTAGTTGGAGATAATTCAAAATATATCTTCTTCTTCGCAAAACTATCTGAAAACTTTTCTAATATATGGTTGAGTTTTTACTGTGTCCGAATTCTTTTCCTATCATTAAGAATTCATGTCAGTAATGTGGCTTACTTTTGGATTTTAATCCCCCAGTCATAGCAAAGAGCAATAGAACTAGGTGTGGACTTGGCCGGTTCGACCCGACACGATCCATTACTGTGTTGTACCTGTCTGACCCGGTCGGCCAGGCCCGGGACTGCGGCCCGAACCGGAGCATTATTTTGGTGGGCTACGAACTTCCTAATTAAATGATGGACCGGTCGGTCCGGCCCCCAATACTATCTTTTAATTTTTTTAGGGCTGCTAGGTTGGTAGGGGAGTGGGGCCGGGTGGGGTTGGAATTAATTCGAAAAACCATAAAATTAATAAATCCTACCTGACACGACCCGCCCAGGTCCGGCCAAGTCTCGGTTGTAACCCGGACCGGTATCGGGACTGAGTAGTTTTTACCTGGAGCTCGTCTCAGCCTGACCCGAGCCCGTTCCACCTCTAAATAGAACACTTCAACTTTGCAAGCAAACATTTTACATTTTTAAATTTCAATGGGTATCCATGAGGAAAACCCCTTCTGAAATGGATGCTAAAATATTATCATTCAAAATGGAGTGTAATGAAACCACAAGCTATTCATAGAGGGAAAAGCTGGAGTAACTGTTTACTAAAAAGAAAACTAGAGTAAAGCAAGCAAATAAGAGAGATATTGAATTGTTACCATTTCATACCTAACTAAATATGGAGAATAAATAGGAGATGAAAGGGAAATGGAGATGGAAAACGATGGTGCATATGATAGCT